CCAGACACTGTGTTCTGGCCTCTGTGGGCACCAGGTGTGTACATGATGTACATACATACAAGAAGACAAAATACACACATAAACAAAAATATTTTAATATTTTAGATTTAGTTTTAGCTTATATGTATGAGTGCCTCCATGTTTGTATGTGCACAACACTCATGGATGGTGTCTTTGGAGGCCAGAAGAGAGCATCAGATCCCCTGGAACCAGAGTACAGATGGTTGTGAGCCACCATGTGGATGCTGGGAACTGAACCCTGGTCCTCTGTAAGAGCATAAGTTCTCTTAACTGTTGAGCCATCTCTCTAGCCCCTAAATAGATAAGCCTTAAAAAAAGAAAAAAAAGGGGGGGGCTTGTTGGTATTATTATCTAAGTGGGTGGTGGTTAGTGTCTCCTCACCTGAGATTCAGCTGTTCTCCTTGAAGCTTGTTGCCCACCTAGTCTGACTGAATTAATGAGCTAGATTCAGCGAGAGACCATCTCAAAAACTAAGGTGAAGCATGATAGAGAAAGACACTGGTGTTGAGCCCTGGCCTCTACATACATGCACAACATTTATACCCACATGAACACATATGACTTAACACACATAATGGTCTCTCTCTGTGTTTCTGTCTCTCTCTCTCCAGACAGGGTTTCTCTGTGTGGTTTTGGCTGTCCTGGAAGAGATACATCTGCCTCTGCCTCCCAAGTGCTGGGATTAAAGGTGTATGTGCCACCACTGTCCAGCTTAAGAGCTCTGAGACAGACAGAGAGACAGAGAGAGAGAGAGAGAGAGAGAGATCTATGGAGGCCAGGAGGAGGCACTGGGGCACTGGATGCCTTGGAACTGGAGCTGAAAGTGGTTGTGAGATGCCTGATGAGACCAGGAGGAGGCACTGGGGCACTGGATGCCTTGGAACTGGAGCTGAAAGTGGTTGTGAGATGCCTGATGTGGGTGCTGGAAACTGAAGTCTTCTGGAGGAGCAGCAAGTTTTCTTTTTCTTTTGGTTTTTCGAGACAGCGTTTCTCTGTAGGTTTGGAGACTGGCCTGGAGTTCTCTTTACAAACCAGGCTGGCCTTGAACTCAGAGATCCGCCTGCCTGCTTCTGCCTCCTGAGGCTGGAATTAAAGGCGTGTGTCAACACCATCCAGCAGCAACTTTTCTCTCTTTCTTTCTTTCTCTCTCTCTCTTTCTTTTTTTATTTTTGGTTTTTCAAGACAGGGTTTCTCTGTGGCTTTGTTAGCTGTCCTAGAACTAGCTCTTGTAGACCAGGCTGGTCTTGAACTCACAGAGATCCTCTGCTTATGCCTCCGGGAGTGCTGGGATTAAAGGCGAGCACCACCAATGCCCGGCCAGCAGCAACTTTTCTTAACAGGCTTTCTCCACCTTCAAATCCTCAAATGCCTGGATCTTCTGCCAGTATGAGGCTCAGGGAACCACAGCTCCTGTTTAGTATCTTGATTAATAACCAAGTATGGGACAGGATGAACCCACTGTGGCACTTTCTGTTGCTGTGACAACACACTTGAGAAAATCCATTTTAAAGGAGACAAGCTGGATCTGGCTCAGTTTCTGAGGTTTTCTTCCATGTGGGGCTTCGGACAGCGGTGGCAGAGGAGATAACTCCCCTCACAGAACTGAGGCGGGCATTTCCTCGAAAGCAATGGTTCCATCTTTTCAGGATTTGGAACTACCTAGGAGACACACCTCCTGAAGTGAGGGAACCCATCCTGAGCTGGGGTTCCACACCGGAAAAGAAAATGAGCAGAACACCAGCAGCCACTCTGCTTCCTGGCTGTGGGTGCAATGTGACAGCCACTCTGCTTCCTGGCTGTGGGTGCAATGTGACAGCCATTGTGCTTCCTGGCTGTGGGTGCAATGTGACAGCCACTCTGCTTCCTGGCTGTGGGTGCAATGTGACAGCCACTCTGCTTCCTGGCTGTGGGTGCAATGTGACAGCCATTGTGACTCTGCAACATGATAGACTTTGTCCCTTAGACCCTTAGCTAAAAAGCCCTTTCCTCCCTCTGCAAGTTGCTTTTGTAAGGTATTCTTTTTTTTTTCTTGCAATATAGTTTACTTTCAGTTTTTATTTCCTTTTAACTATCTAATCACATGTCTTTTTTAAAAAAATTATTTATTAGTTCTAGTTAGGGAACAAGCTTGTTTCACATGTAAGTCCCTTCTCCCTCTCCCTCCCCTAACCCCAGCCTAGCCCCCACCCCATCCACCCACCACTTTCCAGGCAGGGTAGGGCCCTCAACAGGGGCTCTGCAAAGT